ATATATGGATCAACAACTGAGACTGCATGTCAAGCCAGCGATGAGAAAAACCATGGGGCACAGTGATCTGTGTGCTGCTACACACACATACTAATGTTGTCTTTCCAATCAGACGTATGAACACCTCAGTACCAACATAGGGAGAGATGAAGAACCCCTTACACCCTTCTTCCTCCTCCTCTTGCTTTGTGCAGCTCTCACCAACCCTCTTCTTACCTGCTTTCCCTTTCTTCTCCCCTCCTCTGCTCCCAGCTTCTCTCCCTTCCTCTTCCTTATTCCCTCACCCTCTCTTCTCATTCACTTCCTCCTTCTCCTACTCCTGCTCTGCATCTTCTATTCTTACTCCCTCCTTTACTTTCCCTTCTTCCTTCCCTTCTCTCTGGCCTTCATCTCTTGCAGTATTCACAAAATAATGCCATAAGGCATGTGGATTTGGCTTTTGTTTCGTTGTAGGTGCTTCAGGAGATGGGGTAAGACATCATTCCCTCATGTAGGAGGGGCTGTGGTCCCATGCAGTTCAGCTGTTCAGAAGCAAAAGCAGTTTTTTGAACAATCTGATTTTTTTTTATCTACAGTTGTGGAGGATCGTTCCCACCACCTCTGCTTCCTGGACGAAAAGAACCTCCATGCTCCCCTTTTTGGTTACGCCTCACCCTAACTGGCAGCAAATGCATTCATTTATCATAACTCTGGCTCTCGCTTTCTCCCTCTCCCCAAATTTTATTCACACACTTTTGGGCATGTATTTGCAGCTGTTAATAAAAACTATAACTAGATAAGTGCAGTAATAACCCCCACCCCCCATATTAAGAATATCTGTTAGGTACTTGGTATTTAGAGTCCTTGGTCAGGCAAAACTCTCACTGACTTCCATGAGAATCTTACCGAGCAGAGACTAAGCTAAACTGAAGTATAATGACTCCAGGACCCAACAGTGAGAAGAGGAACATACATGCTTAGGGGCTAGGAAACTTTAGTGACTGTTTAGAACCTCATAATTAGGAAGGGGAGCATTTTCCTGGCTTAAATAAATAAATAATTTCTGCACCAGCATAAATCACTGGGTGGTAGGAGTGAAATGACTTCCAAGGCAAAACTGCCTTTAAGCCTTGCCTTGACAACAAATAAAAAGTGCATGCTTAACCTGCTAGTCAAGTTAGATAACCTGAGTTAGTGAGTTAACTCAGGCTAACTAATTTGAGGTCAAAGACCAGTAAAAACAAGGCAGCTTGTAATTTCTACATGAGGTAGGTGGTCAAATTAAAAACTAATTTATTAAAATGATTGACTTCCTTGCCTTTGCTAGGAGTTTACATCAAGTTAGTTAACCCACGTACAGATTACAGAACACACCGGTGCTAACTCCAGATTGCACCTTCCCGTGGTATTGTAGCGAAGGCCTCAAGACAGTTTGCTTGCTCACTCTTCTAACCCTATTACTGCTCAAGTCACTGCCAAAACTCTTGTTGTCCTTCAGAGGAGCAGGACTGGCCTCCAGATGGGGACAGCTGACACTTCATTTACAACATTTCCTAAAGCAAACCAAATGGAGCAATTCTTTATGGTTGGCTGTATCTCCACCCCACCCCTTTCAAATGCAACTTGTCTTCTTGCACTGCAAACTCTTTGGGGCAGGGGCTATCTTTGTATGGGTCTTCTCAGGGGATAATATAAGATAATATAGTCCTGAACCTGACTGGAAAGTCTGAGCAGTTCAGAAATATAAATGCCAGAAGATAGCAATAATAACCAGTCACTACACACCACGGCAGCCCTGGGGTCTCTCTTGTTTGCAGACCTCCCCTGGGATATTATACTTTATTAAAAATAAATAGTTACAAATTCAATTTTACAGCTGATGACAGAGGGAGGATGGAGGTGGTGGAAGGAACTTGTAGCAGAACAGCTGCACTGGCAAGCTGGTTGTCTGTCCTTTGGGGGCTGCCCCCCAATCCTGCACACACCCAGGGCTCTGTCTTCTCTATAGATGTCTCTGGAGAGAGGCAGGAAGAGCTTTAAAAAAAGGGACCATGGAGTGGGTATGTGGACTCAGCCTGCCTCTGGGGGTGATGGATGTCAAAAACCAGAGAAAGAAAGAGAGTGAGAGAGAGTAGAGTGGGCTACAGGGTTCTTGTCTCCTGGTCTGGCATTTTAAATGGAAGAATATGGATTTTGGTTCTTGATTTGTTTTATATACAAAAAAAGTCATGTGCAACAAGCAATAAACATGCAAATAAACCCCACCCCAGATCCTTTCTGCCCTCCCTCAGTGAGCCTCAAACTCTTCTGTCCATGACAATTTGGTTGGCATTTATAACCTACATTCCCTCTGGCAACAATCTTGGCCCTTCTGGTTCTGTTAGCACTCCCCATGCTCACAAATGAATGGAAAGTCTGTCACTCCCTCAGCTTCAGACACAAATGTTTTAGGTCCAAGTCTGTCTTCTCCTGTTTCCAGCCCTGCACACAGGTAGGGTCTGTGGAGGGCATACCCTCAACAGTAGCTCTCTAGATAAAGGTTTGCAACACACACACTGCTCTCCCACCTTCTTGCACAAAGCCTGTCCCAGGGTAGGTGGTGCCCACTGGAGTGGTGAGCACATCAGAGCAGCTCTGTACCTGTATATGCTTAAGGGCTGAGAGGCAGTCAAAGGAGGCTTTCTGGGGACTTTTCCAACTAAGCACTGATGCAGAAGGGAGAAGGAGATGGTGGGTGAAAAATGTGGGATGGAAAGGCAGAAGGAGTTAGATGGCCGACTCTCTGCGGTATGAGATGGCATCTAAGGGAATGGTAGCCTGTAGCCGTTCCAGATCCAAGTGGCTACCAAATTCCATCATCTGGATAACTCCTCCATCCTCCTTGGTGCTTCCTCCTAACCCTGCCCCCACTTCCACCTCATCATCATCCTCGTCTTCCTCTTGGCTGACAAGGGCCAACTCATTCTCATAGCAGAAGGCACTAGGAGGTGGGGGAGAAGGTAAGATGGTGATCTTGCTCTCCTGCAGCTCCCGGGCTGAGCAGCAAGGGGTACCAGCTACCTCATAGGTCTTGTGGAAGCGTGAATAGTCCACCTTATAGTGGTTTTTCTCCTCAAAGACCACAGGTTCAAAACGATGGCCCCAGAGGATCTCACTGGCCAGGTAGGAGCTGCGAGCCTGGGTGGTCATGGCTGTGGCCTCCACCATCCCCTCCAGGATGACGACAATCTCAAAGTCCTCTGACTCCAGCTCCTCCTTCCCAATTCCATAGAGTGGGCTCTCCTCATCAATCTCATGGACGATGATAATGGGGGACACCAAGAATATGCGGTCAAGGCCTACGTCATAGCCCACGTTGAGGTCCCGCTGATCCAGTGGTAGGTACTCACCTTCCTCTGTCATGTAGGGCTTGATCAGCTGTGCTCGGACATGGGCCTCTACAATGTGGCTCCTTCGCAAGTTTCCCACCCGCCACATGAGGCACAGTTTGCCATCGCGCACAGAGATGACAGCATGGTGACTGAAAAGAAGGGTCTGGGCTCGTTTCTTAGGCCGTGCCATCTTGGCCATGATGGTGCCAATCATGAAAGAGTCGATGACACATCCCACAATGGATTGGATCACTACTGCCATGATGGCCAGTGGGCACTCCTCAGTCACACAGCGAAAGCCATACCCAATGGTGGTCTGTGTCTCCACTGAGAAAAGGAAGGCTCCTAAGAAGCCATTGACATGCATGATGCAAGGCTTTAGACTGGTGGGGCCACCTCCCGCACTAGGGGCATCCAGGTCTCCATGGAAGAAAGCAATACACCAGAAGAGGAAGCCAAAGAATAGCCAGGAAACCAAGAAGGTCGCTGAGAAAATCATAAGCATGTAGCGCCAGCGTGTGTCTACACATGTGGTGAAGATGTCAGCCATGTAGCGCTGGGACTTGTTGCTCAAGTTGGCAAAATAGACATTGCACTGGCCATTCTTCTTCACAAAGCGATTGCGGCGTTTCCGTCGGGGGGCATGGCCCTGTCCATTCCTGCTGTGTCCGTTCATGCTGCTCAGGGCAGAGACCTTGTGTCCATCCTCTTCAGTGGAGACAATGCTGTACCTGTAAGAGAAAACAAACAGTTTCAGTGAAAAGGAAAAGAGACCTGGGCACTTAGAGGGTCAGTGGCTGCTTCAGGAAGCAGCTCGCACCTCTTGAGGCTTTACGGGCACTGACTCAGCACTGCTGTGAAGAAGCTGGAGTTGTGGCTTACTGAGCTCTTGCCAAGTGGCGCACTGAGGTAGCACACGCTGCCAGCATTCTGGGTCTAGAACTATCAGGATGCTGCTATGTGGGAGCTCAGCGTATGGTAGAGCTGGCAGGGCATCACTGTGAGGAAGTCAGCAATGCTGAGTTCCTCAGTTGCTGCTACCATGACACTGCCCTGGATCCCTGCTGCAACACTTGAAGAGATTTACTCCAAGAAACCTCATCCTCCCTCAAAGTCAAGGCAGGGCACAGACATGAGGAACCTTACAGCACTTAACTTGCAGCTGGTCTTAGCTCTCAGGGAGACACCCAATGCCCTGAGTCCTGATTTACACTGTGAAGCAGCAGACTGAGATAGCTGGGAAGGCTAAAAGCCAGTGCCTAGGATCTTGCAGCATTTTGGCCTTGAATTACATAAAGCTGGAAGTTTCTATTTTCTGTTCTGTTCTCCTTACTGATCTCATTGTGCATCTGTGACAATGTTTATACACTTCCTGAGTTCAGGACAATTCCGTTGCCACAGCAACAAGCGTGGCTCCCAGCATCCTGTATCCAGAGCCAAAGGTGTAATTTAGACATCAACAGCCAAAATGCTAGCAGATTCCCTGCAAGAAACTCCCTCTCTCCAAGAGCTGCTTGCCCAGCCCTCATGCTCTCCTCTTCCTCAGAACATTCCAACTTCTTGCCTTCCCCCTGCCAGGAAGAAAGCTGCTCCTAAGAGGTCACATAAGGCTCTGTATGAAGTCACTGTTATTCCCTGATGACATAATTACAGCAGACACTCTGACCAGTGACATAATTAAGTGACACACTTTCTGCAGGAAGAAAGTCCTGGAGGGGGACGCTTCTCACCTAATTTCCAGCCCATCTTGTTCAAGGACCCTCTTTGCAGGGCAGTGACCTGTGCCCCCACAAGCCAAGGTTGGGACACTGCCTGAAGTTCTCCCACACAGACCTCTTGACCCTGTTTTTAATTTCTCTTGACGCTCTCCATGGATTGAATGTGGGGGTTCCTTCACAGCTTACTCACAATCATCTTTTTTTAAATACATAGGGGACAAAAAGAAGGTACTGGGTAACATGGGGCCCCTGCTAGGAAATCTGGTCGTCACACCAGATGACAAAGCTAACCTATTTAACGACTTCTTTGCCTCCATTTTCCTGAGCAGAGACCAGATCAGTCCCTCCACCGGGACCCCCCTGGACCCCAGGGGAGGCGCACCCAGGCCAAGGGTCAGTGAGGATCTAGTCAGGGAACTTCTGGAGGGACTGGACATTTTTAAATCAGCTGGTCCGGATGATCTCCACCCCTGAGTGCTGAGGGAATTAGCTGAGGTCATTGCGGGACCCCTGGCTTGGCTTTACAAGCACTCGTGGTGCTCTGGTGTGGTGGCAGAGGACTGGAAGAGGGCCAACGTGGTTCCCATCTTCAAAAAAGGGAGGAAGGAGGACCCAGGAAACTATAGGCCAGTTAGTCTTACCTTGATCCTGGGTAAGCTTTTTGAGAGAATTATCTTGGCACATGTCCACGAGGGACCAGCAGGGGAGATTATGCTTAGGGGCAACCAAAAGAGTTCATTAGAGGCAGGTCCTGTCAGACCAACCTAG